ATATATATATATTTAAGCCCTAAACCCCCATAGTCTTCACAAAATAATGTAACGAGAACCTCAGTATAGCTAACATATAAGTGCATCATCAAGTTAGTCATGTTATTCCCCTTTCACTTTCTCCACGTCTTCAGACACTACTCTTTTCTAGGCAGTTTTAGGAAGAGTTGCCTAAGCAAGTATATTTTCCTGCATGTCCATTATACTGCTCCTGCTGTGTCCTCCTGCCACACACGTGTGGGTGCACATGCCTTTCTCTGCTGGGAGCCAGCAAAAGTGGAACACTAGACTCACTGATGCTCCCCCGCAGCCCACCTCTCCCCTGCCTTCTTCTCTGCTTCCTGAAATCACGAGCAAGGATATCCAACTCCAACGTCACTGTAAAGTGCAATGGCTAGGAATGGAGGAGAATGGGAGGAGCGAGAACATGGAAAAAGAGATAAAAGGGGAGGGGTGGGAAAGACGAGGAAGAGGAGAAACCAAAGAGGTGGCACTTGTCACCAGTGCTGCACTACTCAGAACTCCAGTATCCCACAAACTAAGGATGACCCAGGAGAGCAGCAGATGGGATTGATCCCACCCCACCCTCCCACGCTCCACATACACCCCCAGTTCCTCCCTGCACTCTTCCCCTCTCACTCAAACGTCAGACTCAATACTGGAGAGTTTCTCATAAACATGCCCGTTGCTAGAGCCATTGAAAGCCCTGGGGTTTTTGTTGTTAGGCACACAGGGGTTGGACTGGTTCCCTATACAGATGTCCTTCTGGAAACGGGCTGGCACAGCCCCGTGAAGGGCTGAGACCACCGGCTTGTTGGTGGTGACGATGGCTCGGAAGTCTGGCCTGGCTTTGGGCCCTCCTGCCACCACTGGCTGCCTGAAGAAATAAGATTTGCTGCCGTGGAGCAAGCATTGGTCATCCCCAAAAGTGGGGATGAAAGGGTTTTGGGTGACCCGGTCGGGGTAGAGCGACTTGCTGAGCATGTAGCCCCCACTGCTGCCGGGGTTGTTGTGGTGGTGATAGCTGGTGGCGGGTACTGAGGACTTGTTGTTGGCAAAGGTGGTCTCACTGGCTGGCATCTCAAACATGTGGGCGTAGGGGCTCCCCTCCAAAAAGCGTCCCTTGTCCTTGAGGCTGACGCTGCGGGGGGCCAGGGCTGAGTCATCCTTCTGCAGGTCTACAAAGGTGTCATAGGAGTGCTGCCGGCGGAGCTTGTTGCGGTTCTTCTTCTGCACCTTGGAGGCAGAATTGGAAGGGCTCTGAGGATATTTGGAGGAGGAGGTGGTGCTGGTGGCCACGGGCACAGGGGCAGGTGGCTGGTCCAGCTCTTGGAGCGAGTTGTCCTCACTGATGTCGTACAGGTTGCCTGCTTTCTTGCAAGCCTCACAGCGGATGCAGGCCTGGCGAGTGGAGTTCTGCCCCACCACTGATGGCGTGTAATTGTGCAGCTTAGAAGGGCAACTGCGGCAGAAATTAGCCCCGGGCCGTTCTTCCCAGTCTAGGTTGGTCAGGTTCTTTTCCCATGGTGCCGGGACCCCACTCACAACACCATGCTTGTGCTCGTTGCTTCCACCAAACTCACCCGAGCCATGCTTGTGGTGGGCCCTGTTGGTGCAGGATCCGCTCCCTCCTCCTCCTCCTCCCGTGTCACGCTTAAATTCGTCTCCCCGCTCTTTGTAGATATCTGTCAGATCCACATGTTCCCAGTGTGGTGAGTTCTCCTTGGCCCGGAACTGGTCCAGATAGAAGTCCCGTAGCCCTTCCTTGTCCCTGAAGTAGCGCTTGTGGTCAGGCGAGCGGGGTGGGCGCCGGCGGTAGGCCAGCTCTATCTCATCAAACTCCCGCCGGGACTTAGCAGAGGCCGGGCGCTTCTTCAGGCTGTCTTTGTACTGCTGCTTCCGCCGCTTGGCTGCGTTGCCCTCGATGTTGCCATAGGTGACTGTGTGAGTGGAAATGTCAGAGACGTCTGAGCGGATCAGGTCATCATGGGTCCCGCTGCCCCCGTAGCGGTCACTCTTGAAGGAGAACTTGCCATAAAGGTCACCCAACTGGCTGTGCTTGGCAGGGGGTAATCCCAGGTCCAAGGGCTTCTTCCCAATGGACCGCGACTGGGCATTGAAGGGCGGGTTGTCACAGTCGTAAAGCCCATCGATGGAGCTGGTACTGCCAATGCTGTGGGGGCGGTGGTGGTGGTGGTAGTGGTCCTGATACACATTGCTGTCCTTCAGCTGGAGGTTGCCAAAGGTCCTTTCCACCTCACTAATATAGTCACTAAAGAGGTTCTCCTCACAGGGGGGGTTGTTGTAGGACTTGCAGTCTGAGTGGGTGAAGCTGCGGCGGTGTTCAGAGATATCATAGACTGATGACTCACGACGGATAAAGTCCAGGGCACTCTGGGGTGATCCATTGACCCCTGACAGGTTGGCCATATTCTTGGCTGTCCGAAGCAGGCGAAGGATGTTGGAATGGGTGTTGTTCATAGTCGCCGTGGGGGAGTTCATTGCTGACTGGCGTTCCTCAATAGCCACGCCGTGGATGCAGCTGTAGATACCCTGAAATGAGAGAAAGCAGGAAGGTAAGTGGTCCTGCAAAGAATGCATCAAAGGACACCTGGACTGGAAAGCACGCTGTGCAGCAACAGCATGTTCCTGTAGGACAGCAAGGCCTATCAGCCCTCCATCATGAAGCACAATGAAATCAAATTAAATTAGACCTGCTCTACCAACACTTGCTGTTCTGCCTCTCTTCCATGCCTCTCATGTTTTTTCCTTCCCTCTGATTCCTCTTACTCTGCTTTCCTTCATGTCATATCTGTAGGATGCAGGAATAGCTGCTTGCATCTGTAAGCGTTACTCAAATCTAGTAGGTGTAACATGGAATTACAAATGGGAAAAAATGCCCTTGGGAACAAAAGCATCAAGACAAACGATTCTGTGTGGATGAGAAGAAGAAAGACTGTTTTGGCCCTTGAAATTCATCTGGCCATCAGTGAATCAATGAGACAGGAGCTTTCTTAAAAAGGGAACAGCTTCATTTGTCATCAACTCAGCTACATTAATCACCAGTATAGATTAGAAAAGGAAACAGAGAAAGAGCAGGACTGCTGAATAGGTATTTAGGTCTTTTTCATCTGGTTGAGTGAGGAACAATAGAATTTTTAATTGCATTCTGTTAAATTTAACAGTGATAACAGGCTCCAAATTGACATCTCTGAAAGCAAAAGCCCTCTATGCAGCCTCAGATCAGACAGCAGAAGTGTGTGTTTCCTCCACATTCCCCACTAACTCATTTCATCCATGACACAGACTGTTAGCAAGGAGAAGAGCAGAAGGAAGGGAGCTCATTTATTCCCTGGCCTACCAAAAGGCGCCTGCTGATTAATGTCAATTGTGAAATGGACACCATCACATCACGTTACCATGGTTTCTCAACAGCTAGCAGATGATTAACACTTTTCAGACTTTTTACAAACCTGGCCCAAGTCTAACAGATAACCCCAGAATAAAAGAATCTATACTTAGCTAAGGATCACCAAACACAATCCCTCATCTCATCTCCAGACTAAGCCAGGTTAGAAACTAACAATATAGAAGAGAGGCTTTGCCCCTGCATTCAAAAGGCTTTGTCAATTCCCCTTAGCAATATGTTATGTAGCAATTATATACTACTTGCGCAATCAAAGTTAATTCTGTTACATCAGACACTGAGATAAAAAATGCTGAGGTTTGTCTTCACTTGAGAATGGACCAGGAGAAGGGACCAAGGGTCTGAAAGAAATAAAAAAAGCTCCAAATGGGACACTGCTAGCTATACTAATAGCAGAAAGATGACTCAGAAATTACTAGAATCTGCTTCAAATGTAAATATTACATCCTAAGGCAGATTTGCATAAAGCAATTGCTAAGTTCATGTGGTCATCTTCTCTGGAAGGATTTCTGCATGGTTTAGGGCGTGCCTTTTGTTTAGGGACTTCTGACTGTCCATGATAGCACATTTCTAGTTAACATAAGGTCAGTTTATATTAAGGTTAACATAAAGTCAGCTAATACAGAGGACAATTAAAAAATCCTGAATTTCTAATCACGTTATCCACCATTACTTGAGTTATTGTCCCTAAATTTGACCTCCTTACAGCCCACTTCGGAGGAGTAGATAGTTACAGTAAACCTCTCTTTATAATGCTTTTTCATTTCTATGTGAAATTTCCATTTCCATGACCATAATCCATCAGAGACCAGAGATTAAATGCGATTAGAGACCAGAAAAACATTAGATGCTCTTGCAACATTAACGGTGAAAAGATGCCAACTTCTGTCCTGCAGACCATCACTCTATGCCACCTATGTGTTAGACAGCCTTGGTGGATTTCCCCACCTCCAGTACCTAGGACTGTCTGAATGAATCCTTTGTTCCTTCCTACTAGCTAATAGCACTCACCCTGCTGATGGAGAAGACCACACCAGGCTTGCCAGAGCAGACACCCATGAAGCAGTGGCGGAATTGCCAGTAGAAGAGATGCTCACAAATGAAAGTGATGAGACTGAGGGCCATGGCTGCTCCTAGCATGTAGAAGACACCTGCCATGTTATCTATATCCAGCTGGCTGCTCATAACCTCGTTCTTCTCATTGTGACAAATGCCAGTGAGCCACAGAGCTTCCAGCTCCTCCATCTCCCCTAGAAAAACAGAGGAAAGGAAAGAAACAGGTTAGAAAGAAAAAGCCCTGCAATGGCTAAAAAGCTGAAGTTGGAGAAGATTGAAAGCAAGAAGCTGATATAAGGTCTTCTCCAGTGGCCATGCTCTTTTTCCATATCTATTACATCCATGAAATATCCTAACTGCCCTTTTGATAGGGGCAGGTGCAATTTATCGCAGGGAAGGCAACAGGATTTTTCCACAGCCAGATATTAGGCACAAAAAGCTATACCACAGGACACAGCTATCACACTTCCAAAATCTCTACAGTGAAATCCTGAAAAAGTTGTCCACCAGATGACTGAAGACCTGGCCTCACAAACTTCCACTTTCATATTAGGTCAATGAAGGGAAAAATCAGTGATTGGTAGAAAAAAAAAGGAGTCATTTCTAAATGAAAACGTGGTATGTTTCCAGCTCAAAATTCAAATTGATTATTTTTTTAAATCAAAATGTCTGATTTTGAATTTATTTCCATCATATTCATAGGTCATTAAAACTAGGAGCAATGTTCCCAGAAATATTTGTGCATTTTTACCTGGCTTTCTTCCCTTCAATTTTGTCCATATTCAACACTACCACATCCTCTGACCAATCAAAAATATTACTAATTTGTATCAGCTAGGAACAAATGTTCTGTAGTCTAATTTCATACCCCACTTACTCCCATTATGGTATTTTCATGAGGGGAAAGAGAGATATAAACACTCACACACACGTACTGAGACATTCAGAAACAAACTAATTTTGTAGGTTTTTTAGGCTGTTAGGAAAGTTAGTTTTTTCACATTTTCAACCTCCAGTCCAGTGACGGGGGGAAAAATCAGTATATTTATGTGGTGCAATAGGACAGTCTTCAAAGCTTTATAGAGAACTTGTGTCTTTTTCAGAAATAATATTTATTAGGCTGTTTAGGAGACAGAATGCACTCTCTCTCAGGTGGCGAATTTTCTGCTGAAGTATATCACAGCTATGTTCTTTACATATTTATTATATCATGTGCTATTTTCAGATATCAGAAAAAAATAAATACTTATAAATAAGATAACCTGTAGATTTTATTTATTCTAAAAAAGTACAGAGCAAGATGTAATATGGAATGAAAAGGGAAAGTGAGGAAAATATTTTCGAAGAAGGAATTCCTTATCCAATGAATACTTTTTTTAATAATAGCGATTTTTCTGTAAAGCATGGGATCAACTAGGTAACTATAATGTTCTGATTAAAAACTCACTCCAAAATATGCTTCTGACTCTCAAGTCCTTCCTTGTTGTTTTTTTCTGAGGTTCTGGAAAATCTAAGCTAGCTCTTTCATCCAGAAATATTTATCCTGTAATTTTGAAAACTCTGCATGGCTTGATCCTGTCTAGAACTATGGGATGACTATGGAAAGTCCAATGTAATTAGTGGGTTTGGTCATGGCAAAACCTCAAAGGTAGTGAAAAGTTCCCAACAGAAATCTTGTTTTTACAAGACATTCTTCACACAACGTATTTTTCAAACACACATCTGAGCTAGTTCTATGAAACCGTCAGTGTTTTTGACACTGCTTTTGATGATACTGCTACCCTGCATCAACAACATAAAACAAGTGACATCCTCACATTTTTGGTGTAATGCCTCTAACAAATCCTTGTTAATAACACCCTGTTCTCATCTCAGATCTGAAACACTGGAGCTTACATGCAAAACTTGATATTTCTTAGGAAAACTCCAGCTCCTCTTTTTCTTGTCACTTACCATCTCCAAAAAGCTGTAGAATGGCAAGATCAACCTGGCGCTTCCAGCCTGAGTCCTTTTGGATGGCAATGCCATAGCCAGTGGAGGCAAACACTTTCCCACTCCCAATCGTCACCAGCTTGCAGCCTTCATCTCTGCCAGCCATGTAGTTTAGCACTGCTGCATCATAAATGAAAGCATCCAACTTCCTGCACAGGTGCAAGAAACAAGATGGGTATGGTACAGAAAAGAGAGAATCTGTTTGAGTTCAGAGGTGTTCTCAGGTAATTAAGGCAGAAACGAAACTCTTTCTGATAGACTACAATAGGTTGCATCTTCATCGTCACCAGTGAACTAAAATCTGAGACTAGAACACGTTTATAGGTGAAGCTAGATTATAAATGAGGTCTGCCTATTTCTTTCTGATTCCTTATCATCATTTGTGATCTGAAAGAAAATTTGGAATACAAACATCCTGCAAGATAAAGATGAATGAAGAGGAAGTCAAGGGGATCTATAGTCCTAAGAATAGCTTGTATTTCTGTACTGCCTTTCATCTCAAAGGAACCTAAAATGCTTTATAAAAATGTATCAATATTAGATAGCAAAGTAGAGGTTGGAGTAAGAAAAATATTATCCCCGATTCAAACTGCTGGCATGACTTAGCTGAGCAAAATGTAATTTTTTTTGAATTAAATATAGTCATGACTTCATGTTTAACTCCTCAATTACTGTAAAAGCACTACTGGATTTTTACCAATGTCAAGTGGCCATGATAGCAGCTTTACGGTTTACCATGCTGAGTAGATCTTTGGTAAAGAGTGCTTAGCTGAAATCCATAAGAAAAATTCTGTTTCAGTACAGAGAAATCCCCATTATGGTCTGAGATAGGTAGACAGCACAATAGACTGATGATAGCCTTTCTCTCACTGCAACAGATTGATTTGGATGTGGGGGGCGGTGTCAGGAGGTTGCATATTCCACATAAGCAAAGACAGTTGATGAGTAAATCCTCCTGCTAGATCTGAAATGAAGCACTTTCCGATAAAAGACCAAAGACCTTCCACCTTTCACATTCTTACACCCACGCTATCTTTTCAATCCACCTCCTGCACATATATTTCCAGTATGGTGATTATCTCAGTTCAAGTCTGTATCTGTGGGGAAGTCTGCCCAAGGGTGGATATGAAGCCTGGATGACATCTACTGCAAGTGATGAGCTCTATTTCATCCTTATACTTCCAGGACAGAGGATATTTATTTCCTGGGTGATGACTGTCCTGGCAAATATACCTTCCCAGGATGGCATCCAACAATGGTACAATCACTCATAATGGGCTGTGTGCCTCTGAACCTGGCAAACAGGTTTAGGAATATTTTGTCACTCTAGTAATTAAATTGGCTGAACATCTTCATTCGTGCTTTGGAATGAACTTTCTCATAAGAGTGCAACATGAGTGTAAGCAAGAATGGTTTTTTCCACTGGGGCTGGTCTCTGACAACTGAAATGGTCAACTGCAGGAGGAGGTCTTTACTTATAAAGGACAAAGTCTTGCAAAACGGCATTTTAAGTTAGCTCCTTTACAGATTCATTGCTATTAAAATAGGATTAGTTGTTCAAACATACTTTTTGCTAATGATTTTTCCCACGTTTCCCAAATTACCCAAGGAAATGTTCCCATTGTATATACTTACTTATTATTCAAACAACATTTTGTTCAGTCCTTGATACAAAAACATTCCAGAGAGAAAGGTTACTTCCAAACTATTCACATCAAGCACACCTTGCATTACACTATATTAGCTAGTGATACACTGGGGTGGGATTAGTCTGTCAAGGATTGCTTCAGCTTCCTGATTAACATAATCTTTTACACACAGAAGGAGGGAAAACAAAGGAATTTCCAGATGACAATATAAATGCTCTGGGAAAAACTTAGTCCACAGAGGTCTGTGAGCTTTTCCTGTGTGTGCATAAAGACCTATCTTCATGAAACATCTTGATGAAGCAAGGTCTTTGGAATGAACATACACAAGGAAATAGAAGATTATTTTTTGAAAAATATTCTTATAAACGCAGCAAAACCAGAAACTCCTATACAAATGTCAAGAGAAAAACCTGACTAAGAGAACCAGAGAATTATTCTCCTGTGTTCTGTGTGGTCTTGCTATACTTTTAACCATGGTATGATAATGAAGTCTCATTTTCCAAACCCCACAAAAAACTTTCCAGACAACCATGCAAAGAAGTCAGGTTTCTGTAGTGAGTAAGTATGGAAGAAGAAAGCCTCACCCAGTCTTCAGCGAGAACAGTGCATCATCCACCCCTCTCTGATTGAACTTCACCATGTAGCTGTGCATTTCAGGGTAGTTGTTGCGAATGTTCCTTTCTGTGCTGCCATTAGGAACTGTTCCGAAGCGGAAAGGGGGCGAGAAGTCATTGGGTTTCTGGAACTGGAGAGACAGAAAAAGAACATTTCTCACAATCTTTCAGCAAGAAGCAGTCATCTGAATGGGAGAACACACTCTCCTTGGAAGGTAATTCTGATTTTATTTTACTATCATGTATAAAACATTATTGAGAAGATATTACATTTCACTGTTTTCAGACATAAACATCTCTTGTTAGTACTGATATTCTTGTCCACTCTGGATTAAGTGCAGAAAATAGCCAGTGATCAAAGATTAAAAGGAGGTTAGATAAAAGGAAAAAGGAAAAAGGAAAGGGAAAAGGTAACAGCGGCTTTGGAACAGAGTCAAGGAAAGATTTCAATAAAATCTATGTGCATTTTATCCACTTCTAAGAAGTATCTTTTTCAGCTCTGTGGATGCCTTTGCACTTCCTGATTCTGACTGAAGTAGAAAAGTAATTAATGAGGAAAGCTGCCTCATACCCACTTCACCAAACGAATGATCAGCTTTCAAACTTTTGGGCAAATGTCCCAAATGAAATGCTATTAGTGGCTTCAAGTCACTAGTAACATTTGAGGCCCAGAACAGAGCTGGCAAAATACTCCAAGCCTTTTCCTGCTCCCAAGAAATACATTCATCATAACATTTCCCCTACGGCTGCAAGGCTGTGAGATTTTATGTGCCACTTGCTTAACTCAAGTCATAATCAATGCTCTCTGGGGTTTTATGAGCAGTAAAATTTAGACTGTCAATTATCAAGACAGCTTAAAACTCATAGAACCAGCAGACGGGAAGGAGCACAGAACTACAAGCCAGGAACTGAATAAGCAGTAAAGAATAAGGTGCAAAGGTAGGTTATATGGAGGGGAAGCCCCTTCCTCTCTTGATATATCAAGCAGTAGTTTGCCTGGTGCTAATTCTTGACTGCCAACTATGACTGTATATTTGGATGATCCTGACAAGCACACTAAGATCATGCTAACGCTCAGACTAAACCCATTTAACAGCAACAGTTCATCTGGTACATGAATACATGTAGTTATGTACTGCCACCTTCTACAGTGGAAATGTGGCTGCAATCTACTGCTTAAAAAACATGCAGATGAGTCTTGTCCTGGAGTTCTGCTCAAAGCCAGTTTGGAACTCAGTCAACTCAGCTGAGGAGGCCAAAGCCACTAAAGCAGTGTATCTCATTCATAAGATCTCAGCAATAAGGCCAACCAGGAGCTGTGTCTGAGAGTAGGTGAATGCACCATTCACACCACCTGTTTCTGTACACCAATCAACTCATGTGGCTGTGCAAGGAATCATCTTTCCAGTTTGGATGGCGAGATGGACTGGCTTGTATGTGCACACATGAGTTTGTGAAAGAGAACACATGTCCTACTGCTTTAAGCCAACAGAAAACATCAGGGTTGTTTTTTTTGAAACACAAGTTGGCACATCATTGAAAAGAAAAAGAGGTTTCACATAGCATAAAACAGATAGTAAGGTGGCTTTTAGAACCTTGTCACACCCCCTAGGGATGAAGACAAACTCATAGCTATCAAAACCTGTAATGAAAACAAACTTTGATGGGAGAAAAATCACTGCAGCACACTAAAATTATTCTTTTTTACCAAGCTGATTATAGCAGCAGCTTAGGGGACCCATCATAAGAAGGGCATTGGCATACAGACACAAAGGAACACATTCTCTTTTCCTGACTTGCTAAAAGAGGAGTTTGCAAAGTGGGCAACTTGCTTCCACAGAGGCTGCAGAACCCAGCCTTGAGAACAGATGGGGCACCCCTATCCCCACAGAGCCCTCCAACAGAGTAAATTAAGCAAGGCAAGCAGCAGGCAGGCCTGACCAACATGCTACAGCATGCATGGAGGGAGGGGCAGCAGCTATGAGAGCTTCTCTCTGGGCCCATCCAATGTCCATTTTATACCTCCATTCTCCATTCCCAGTGATACAATTTCTAGTTTTGTTTCCTTCCATCACTGTGTCTATGAACTGGAGTAAGAAGCATTACAGAGTCAGGCAGGGTTGTGATAAGGCAAAAAATCCCACCTCTGAACTATGCTTTGTTAGCCCTGTGTTCGAGGGCCCATCTTAGCACCCACAGGTGAAAAGCTCCATATTTAATTTTTAACCTCCTGGGCAAACAATAAATAAATGAAAACATTCCTCCTGAAGGATAAGACCGTTTTCAGCAACTCGAAAACCATGTTTCTAGAGAAGGAAGCCAGGCTATTAGCTTCTACAAAACCACGTACTGTAGATTCACTCATCATCCCTTACCCTCTGCTCATTCCTCAGTCAGAACAGATCTGCAAATGCAAATTATTCTCCATGCACCCAGACTTCAACGATAACTTGGTGGACAACGAGACAGGAAACAGTCTGAAAGGTTCAGTGTGGAACCCACACCAGAGACCTTTAGCTTGAGTGCTTCGAGTAAAACACATCCCCAGCCACCTGGTTTGATGTTTGCAGAGCTGAAAGCAGTTGATGCCCAGCTGACTCCACAATCCATGAAGCCAGAGATCAACTAACTTCTCGACATTTGAGAAGTAATAGTGGTACATGATTGCAGCTTACTGGCAGGAGGGGAGAGCTGAAAAATCCTCATGTTTGTTGCTTGGCAGTAGGTGGGTACAGCTCAGTCCAGGGGTGGAGGGATCTCCAAAGAGCACTCCAGAGTCAAAAACTGCTGCATCTTTCTGAGCTCTTTTCTGCCCTACACAGCTCATACTGAAAGAGCAAGAGGACATACAAGACTTCCCAGAAAATATATGGGACAGATGGGGAAGGAGCGTGTCCTCTCCTGGCAACATGGTGGAGGAACATGTGTGGAAGAACTGGAGAAGATCCATAAGGAGGAAACTTAATTGACACTGTTGTCAAAGAATTTGATAAGGAAAGCCACTTGATTGGCTTCTCCCAGGGGCTGGGAGAGTGGGCCTGGATCAGAAGTGCCAGCCCCAGGGAAGCAGAGCACTTTGGCAGGCTGGTGTAGGAGGAGTCTGAGAGACATGATACAGGAGCTGAGGCACAATGCACGGGCCATTACATGGAGGCAGCCTGTGCAGAGGTAATCTCAATGCCTCAGTAAATATTGACAAAGGAATTAACTAGAGATACTGACAGAAAGGGTTAGAATTTAGATTAATGAGAGAACTCTCCCATCATTTCATGTAAATGTTTTTCCTGCCAGAGTCCTAAGTCACAACTACTCTGCTCCAGGCATCTGCAAAGAGGAGCCCTATGAGGCTCTGGCAAAAAATCTGTGGTGATAACAGGGGAGGGGAAGATAAAAAATTGCACCAGTTGCTGAGCAAATGCAGCTGCAGAGAGGCACAGGGAGCAGCAAACAGGGCCACAGAGGGTCCACACTTGTAGGAGCCCCACCTTAGACTTCCTTGTAGCAGGAGCCCCATCCTGCTGCCCAGGCCTACCTACCTCGAGGGGTGACTGCCTAGGGGGAAACCTGCTGGGCTCGGCTGCAACCCTGCACCTAAAGAGCCTGAGGTGGAGGTGTACCCTACCTGCAGCCTCTCGCTTGCTCACCATGGGGCCTCCATTGTGAGGTGCTCCACTTGTACCCAAGGTGATGTGGCATGCTCTCATCCATGAGACCAATCCCTTATGGAGCTGGCTTCACATCAGATGTGAAGAGAGAAGGTGGATGCTAGAGATTGGGGTGGGAAGCAGACACCAAGTGTGCCTGAAGGGCTGCAGTACCTTTGGGACATGAGCCACCTGTGCTAAGATCCCAGTGGTTGCCTACTTCTTCAATCCCTCACTCCATAAATTGAAATCAAGAAGCATTGAGTCTAAATCAGACCACAGTTTTGGAAAAGTAACCTCTCAGAGTCAAAAAGCAGAAATCTTCCTGCTCTGGAGAGTGATAAACACACAGGCTGGGGGCTATTAACACATTCAGAGTGGAGAGCCCCTTTCCTACCCCCCCTGCAACTCACTATGAGAGCTGTCGGCAGCAGCAGCGAGAGCTGGTTTAAGTGACTTGTCTGGCAGAGCTGTTTCATTAGCAATTTGGAGCCGTGCCGTGCAGAAAGCAGCATTGTTCTCAGATGCTCGAATATCAATCTGCATAATAAAACAGGTGATAGGAGCTCTTCCCATCCAGACAGCCGCAATTGGAGGGGATTCAGGGATAAGGGGAAGGGGTTATGTCTAATTGGCCACAATTAATTTGATGAGAATTTTTTTTTCAATATATTGTCTATCACCAAATGGTTCCTACAGAAAAGCGCATCTGCACTTATTTATCTGCCTGATGTAGGCTCTGTTTACACTGTAAAGTGTTTGCCAATAGCATTGAAAGCAGTTTCCCAAACTCAGCAAACTCTCACAACAAAAAGGCTCTTTTTTATAAGTCAATCTACTTTTATACTGCTTTAAAAAAATAATCCCCTGCTGGATAACATAATGAGCTGGCACAACTTGGTGTGAGTGTGCATGTGTGCATACAAGTGTAGTGCCTTACCCTTACACAGCTTCTCTGGGAGGGCTCCTTTCACTTTGTAAGGCCCAGACCCTCAGTTTAAACTTTCTACCACAGGAAGCTCCACAGCTCTGACTCACCAAAACAAGGTCCCGAGGTTCAGCTCCTCTGTTAGCTGCAAGTCCAAAAGAGCTTGAGCCCATGTTAAACATTTCGGGTTCAGTTAATTTGCCCAAACTTTAAGTGCCAAGTTGAGATGCTCCAGGGAATTTCACCTGGGAGCAGGTCTCTCATAGCTCCTGTGTCAGATTTTTCAACCACCTGAGGGCTTTTTGGATACTCTGCTAGACCTAAATCAGCTCTAGACATTTACATTAGCACAGCTGAAACTAGCCACTGGAGCATCTGGCCCTCGGGACAGCTTCTCCAACCAAAAATACAGGGAGCCAGCCACTGTGGGTAGTAGACAGCCCAATCTGCCCATCACTCGCTTGAACTTGCTCACCAGGGCATCAGTCACAACCTTTTGTGTAGGCACCTATAGGAGGCACTCTGCTTTCTCTTTTGGCAGCCATACGACCAGCAGATA